ACTGACTATGTTTAGACAATTGTACCACAGCTTAATAAGCCAAGGTATGAACAGGCCTTTTGCTGTTCCTTCTGCAACCAGCAAACAAGCCAGGAAATCTTCAGTTAATTATAGTTTTCCCATTTAAGCAAAACAGAGAAACAATGATTAACATTTTGGAATGAGCCAAGATATTAACCTATGGTTTGAGGTTGGCTTAATATCCTGACTAGTCTGAAAGCTGTAGTTTCCTGGTTTGGACAAATCCTAGAAACTATGCTTAACTGAAGTCTTCCAGATTTGTTTGGAGACTTGAGTAAAGGGAGACATGAAAGGGATGTCTGTGCACCCAAAAGGCTTGTTTGTATCTCTGTTTATTAAGCTAATGTATAAGAGCATCTGAATGTTCCAACTGCCTTGAAAATGATTTCTGATTAATCCAGTTCTGCTGCTGCTTTCCTGGCTTTTCACTGGAGAACTAGGCCTCCAGACACAAGGATATCTGCTCTTGCAGGCTCTCTGCTGCTTTCTGCTGATTCAGCTGGCAGTGATTTATTCCTGGTCAAATCATGTGTAGCTGTTGAATGTCAGAGTGCTTTTTCCACTTCTCTGGGATGCTTCCTGGGTTTGGTTTTGTGCAGATCATGTTATTTCAAATGGAGATGTTGGTCTTCTGCCCCTGTAGGCCTTTTGCTGAAAACAGTTTGAAAAGCAGAGTTGGGATTTCTGGGCCAGATTCTCCATAGGTCTCAAAACTGGCCCAGGATGAGCACCAGTTTCAAGTGTGGCTCTAATCTCAAGGTGATGAATAGAACAATCAATATGACACATGATAGCAGAAGGCAGAAAGGAGCTATATTTATTTTAGAAAATATCCAAAGAAACTGTGGTCAGCAGATTGTCATTGGATTAGGCCTACAAACAAGAAGAATGTGAATGATCTTAAGGCAAGATTCTCCTTCAGTCTGCCAAAAGGCAAAATGAGAATAGTCTCTGAGTAAAGGGTTCAGAAATCTGTAAATTTTTAACCTGCTTTTAATTCAGTTACCTCTGGCTGACCTTGAAACAACCCGAGTCAGACATAGCACATAAACATGAAGAGGCTGACATTCTGAAAAAGTGTTCTGTTTATATGCCCCCCTCCCATCCTATGACAAATTGATCTGGTCTGTTGCAGGCAGAGGTCTCTCCAAGGACCCTCCAGGCAATGCTCAGGGCTGCCCAAGGACCGCTTCCTCATTGCTGTGAGCAGCAGGTCAGTGTTTCCCCTCTAGGCCCTTCACCCCAGTTCACAGCTGCTTTTGAGATATTAAAAGGATGCTTTCATAAATACCAGCTCATGTTAGCTTCCCCTTTTCTTAGAATCAGGAAACTGATTGAAATCAATTTTATGATACATTTTCTTTCTGCTATATCTGGGACAATCAGCTATCATCAAATAATTAAAAAATTAATAGGGTTGATGAAGTAGCACTTCGTGATGATAAAACAACCAGCAACAACTAACTGCTTTGAAACTCTGTAAAATCAATCTTTTCATGTTAGGCTGTCTGGGGATAAACTAGGGATGCTGGCAAAATCCACAACAGATTCAAATGCATTTGGATTTTTATTGATCTGACATATAGATTCAGTGTTGTGGATTATTTTTAACTTGTTTTGGTGGGGGACGGGGGAGAGAAGAAACTGTGCACATTCTTACTTGCACATTTGCTTAACTAGAATGAATTCTGAAAGAAATTTGGATTCCATCAATAAATGCATAATGGAGAGAAAGATGCCTATCAATCTGGAAAACACAGACTGAATGAATTTTTAAAACATCACACACCCTTAGGACACATGTTGGGTAATTCAAGAAGTACTGTAAGAAATACTACAGTAATGATCAGGTTTGGCTTCAAGGTGGCAGTTGGTCAAGTCATGTTACCTTTCTCTTGAACTGGTAGCAATACGTCCATCCTATAAAGTGGAATCCTGTACACACTTCACTGGGAGTAAGTCCCATGGAACTCAACAGGGGTTAATTCTGAGCAGACAGAAGTATGGGGTAACACTGCAAAGGTACGGTGTGATTTTACTCTGATGTGAATCCTCTTGTTTTCAAGGGAGTTTAATCTCAGGTAAATCTGATTAGTATAGCAGCCATGGTATAGTAGCAATCTACTTGGGGAACGTCTGCCTTGTTCATGTAACTCAACAGCTACTTTCAAAAGGCAATTTCATGGAATGACAGATATCTTGTTATTTACCTATGGCTTATGGAGCTAAAAGCTTTTATTGGTCAAACCAAGTGAAGTCTTTGGTTGAATATTCTCTGCTTTTGAAAGGATTTCTCCCTTGAGTAATAAGATATTGGAATGAAATTTGGTACATATGTTCAGGACATAATTATATGCATTATGCATTTTATGTTCAACTTCTAGCTTGACCTTGCAACCTTTGCCAAAGGGGGATGGAAAATGTCAAAGATGTTGCAGTGTGATATCTACTTTGAGAGCGGAATCCAACAGTACACTTGTGGAAAAGGCATGAGAGATGTTCCCCTGTGTTTGTACTATGGCTAGCAGAACAGCTAGTTACAACTAGTGCCTGAAAAGCCGAGGTCAATGAAGTTGTAAGGAGTTGTGCAACAGGTTGTAATATTGGATAAGGCACTTGCAAAAGGATCAAAAAGGGTTTCTCCAAATGGAAGGCACTTTGCACTAGTAGAAAGGGACTACAGCATCCAAGCCTAAGTAATAAGGTACTTGAATGAAATTTGGTGTGCATGTTGAGGACACAATTCTACTTTTCAAGTTCAGAACCAAACTTGATCCCACAATTGTTTTCTGGGTGCCAAAAAGATGTAAAATAAGTGTAATATGAGATATCTCCAGTGATCATTAAGGTACCACAAATGAACCTTGATGTGGGTGGGCGAGTTTTAATAGAAAATTTCATTCAAAGTTTGAATACCTGTCAGAGTGACTGCAGAAAAACTAGGTTGTGGAAACAAAGGGTTTACAAAGATCATAATCTGAGGATCAAGAGTTTAATCCATGCTATATAAGACCGAAAGCTGTATGTGTGTGTGTGGGGGGGAGGGGCAATGGGTTCCTGGGAAATAGAATTTAGGAGCACCCATTACTCCATCACTATCCTTGGATTTATCCCTGCAGTATGACCCCACATTAACTTTCACGTAGTTGGGGAGGAGAGATATGGACTGTACCGGGATACATTATTGGAAGCAAATGCTGAGATTTACTAGAGTTTAATTCCCTCATATATTAAGGGGAACTGACAGCAATCCTCACAAAACAAAATAATGTCCAGAACAAGAGTGCCATAAGAACTATTCTTGATGGCTGAGTCGACTGGGGTAAGATTCCATTCAAAATGATATTCTAACCTTGTTATGCTTGACATGTGCTTTTTTGCTTTGTTAGAACCATTCTTCCCATCCCCAGGTCTGTGGGTGGTCACAATAACTTTGTCTGAGAGGCCAGTACATACACTTTCAATCAAAACCTTGTCAGATGATCTTTAGGAATCTGCCACAATGGCAAGAAAAAAGTTTCCCACCTTTTCTAGATCAAATTCCTTCAGCTTATGAGATGCATCTGCTCTTACAAGGTTTCAGAATTAAAAAGTACAGCTTCATGTGATTCTGCAATACTAGATTGCGTTTTTCTTCTGGGTGGCCTTGGAAGACGTTTGTGTTTGTTTATCTGTCTAACTCTTGATTTCTGTCAAACTGCATACGGAATAATGAATACATAACTTTGCTCTTCACCAGCTGCTTATTTTAAAGTCATTCATTCCATACTCATTTAGAAAGAATGCATAAGGCTGGAGTTACTAACTCTTAACACAGCTACTGACAAAGGAATTAAACAGATACTTGTAACAAGTATCATTCATAATGCCACAGAATATAATATAGATCATAATTAACTTTCTGTATGAAGCACTACCCAACAGAGGGAGCATAACAGTATTTACAATGCAGCCCAAAATTTAAGCTACAATCATAACAGATAGCTTCTATAATTTATCAAAAAACAATGAGCTGAACAAAAATACTGGTGCTGGAGAGGTCAAAACAACATTCTTAAGTGAATCCATTCATCATGAGAAATTTTGCAAAATGATCATATTGGTTTTCTGCGCAGTCTTTTTTGGTCTGCTAACCACAGAAACAAGTGATTACGGGCTACATTCTAATTCTCAGCATTATATAAAGTAGCATCTTGTACTTGCAGAAATTTTGAGTAAAGATAGCAGTTGGTGCAGTAAATGACGCTTCAGTTGCATTGTCTGAAAGCCAAGGAAGTTTGCTTTTAATATTGAAGTAGTTGTTTAAAACAGTTTTAGACATCAGCAGACAAATTCTAGGAGTTAATTTTGGGATACTATTAGAACAAACATTACTGAGCAAATATGGTTTGGCATTTATCAACAGAGTTGTTTTAGATGCAGCACAAAGGGACTATAAACCTTATGCAGGTAGGAGTGTGTGTGTCTGTATGTGAGAGAGACTTAGAGAGAGAGAGAGAGTTAAGACTTGGAACCACAAATATTAATGTACTTTTACTTGTAGGAACATCATGAGCTGTGACTAAAGAGCAGCATATATACATTTTAGCACAACAGTAAAGCTTTAAATGGCAGACAATTAAAAATGTCCCAGTATTTTTAAATGAGGCATATCAAACAATACTAGAAGTAGAAATGAGTGTGGAAAAATGAAATATGTTCTGTGATTGCCCATAGAGCACACAAATCATCAGAAGATGAATAGTTGAGTTCTAAGAACTTGCCAAGGAAAGAGAATACTATTAAATAAAATATGATCTCAGATATGAGGGAGAGAGACAGAGAGAGAAGGAGAGAGGGAGAGAAAGGAAGAACTGAAACTTGTAAAGACGAGTCCGATCATTTGGTGGACAGTCTCTACTAGCTCCTTGCATTGCAAGTTTCCATTTGACATGAAATGCAAGCATCATCTTAGAAGTCCGGAAACTTTTGGTACTTACAGTCTTTAAAAGCAAGTGTTGGGTCTCTGTGAGGAAGGACTTGGGAAATTATATGTTGTAGAGATTCTAAGGTCCTGTCCATCTTGCTCTGCCTTTTTCCAGACTGCATCCACCAAGTGTCCACATGCCTGAATGCATCCAGTTCTGTCCTGAATTTATGCAGTTCATTGATGAACTGGATTACCAAAGAATCCCTTTCAACATCTGCCAATCAGACATTGCCCAGATTCAAAAGACCCTTCAGGGGGTCCTCCTCCCCTGGCTCGCTTATCTTTGTTGGAGGCTGAGATAATTAGCTGGGGAGGCAGGCAGGCAAGCTCCTTCCTATTGCTTTCTTCTGTTAAACACACCCACCTACTGGCTGGCCGAGGAAGCTAATCATGTGAAAGATATTCTGCTTTTCATCCTCGCATGAACTGAAGTTGCTGAAACAAAGTTTAGGGTTCTGCTGACTTTAAAAAAAATCTAAAAAAAAAAAAAGAATCTAGCAGGTTTGGGAGGGTGGGGGAGATTCATCAAAATTGATTAATTAAATGCACTGTAATAGAAAAAAATGATGATGATGATAATAATAATATAATTAACATGGAATCTGACAGATCATCTATTCTTTAATTATGCCAATGGGTTTATTTAGAACTAACAGCAAAGGTGTAATTTCCAAATAAAAATGGCACACAAAATTAAAATTGTTTATTTGCTCTGTAGCACTGATGGTACCTGCAAACACACACCACAGTCCTTACTCAAGAGTAAGTACTCAAAATCCAGTGGGTATTTACAACCCGATGAGTCTAGAATTGCAGATTTCATCTCACATTCTGTTCAACCACTTTCTCCAGTTTTGCAGTTCTGCAGAACCAGCTGGAATTTCATCATAAAATAACAGCATAACGGCATTATAGGAAAAATGAAAAATGTATTTGAGTAAATCAAGTTGTTGATCTACTCAAAAGGTAACAAATGTTGAAAAAATCATTTCCATGGATGGCTATTTGAATTTGATTTCACCAGCTTGCATTTTTTTGTAGATTTCTCAGGCTGTTGGATTTCTGCATGAACATATAAAAGATAATATGATCCAAACACTGCTTAAAGAAGGCTAAACAAAAGTGTACCTGATCTCCACTAAAATCAGCTGATCTGGGTCTGGGTAAATGATTTAGTTGCCACTTTAATTGCTTTCTACTATGTTTTAAATTACTACTTAGATAGCTATATAATTTTAGTATTTATATAGCACCATGAATGTATAGGAGTTTTACCCACTCACACTAGCAAAAAGGGCAGGTCCTCACCCCAAGGATTCTATAGCTCATATACAAAGACTTTATGTAAAATGTGGCTTTTGGGAGAGAATTTGAAGGAAGTGAAAACAGTAGCCTGATGGTTCAGTATGTGAAACTACTGCACACATCCAGAGGGGATGGGTGGAATTATGAGAGGTGGGGGGTTCAAATCCATATTCAGCCATTAAGCACACTGAGTGATTTTGGACCAGTCACCATTAGTCTGTCTACCTTACTGCCGGGACTGTTTAAAGGATAAACAAGGAAGAACCTTTGGATTTATTAATAAGGGAAAATAGCTTTTGCATGGCTGATGTGATAGAACTGGAGGAATAAGCCAGCCTTGTACCATGTTACTACTACAGATATTCAAGAGGCCAAATGGGATTACTACAAATGTGGAAACTTTCACAGGATCATCATCCATCCCAGCTCCTTGCTTGGCTTTAATCCCTGGCTAGAAGCATGATTTGGGCTGCGTGTCTGGTGCTGATGTCCCTTTATCGCTCCCAGCACACTGTGTATTTATTTCAGGCACAGCTGACCATGCAATGGGAGATGCGGCTTGGCTCGAGAAACACAGCACTTCACACCCAGAAACATTTTTGGATAAACATCTGTGCAGCTTAGAACTGAAAAATTACTGGGTGGAATCCATGTTTGCAGTTGCTGGAGGTTAGGTCAAATAATACCAAGCATTCTTGCCAAGTCTGTACTTCAAAGAAGAGATGTTTTAAAAAGAAACATCTTTCCCTACTTTCCCTCACCAAACAAAGGTTTTTACTTCCTTAGATTCCATGCACCTTCCTCTTCTTTCGCTGACAGTAACACATGCCTGGAAAAGCAATGTAATGTTCTACAATGTGAAGCAAACTGGAATGCTGTCTTTTAGGCTCGTTAGTAAATTTCTTCCTTGCTTTGAAACCACAGCACTGCTTAAAAGTTTCCTCAAATTTCTAAGCCATCTTTCAGGAAAGGAGGCCTCCAAGGCAGCATAGCCACGAAGAGGCACTTCAGTGGTCTTAGAGAGTCTGCATTATTAAGAACATCACTCCATCAAAGCACTGAGGCCGCATAGGTTTTGGCTGGCCATTCTTTTGTTAGCAGATTATCTACTAGTCTAGCTTTGTTAGCTACTAGTCCAGCGTGTTTATTTGTATCCCACTTTATGACCACTGTTGTTATGGACTGTTGAGGCAACTCTGACTTAGAGTGACCATAGGGATGAATTGCCTTCATAAATGTCTGCCCTTGATGGCCCTGCTCTGCTCTTGTAAATTCAAACCAGCGGCTTCCTTTATGGAGTCAAGACATTTCATAATTGGTCTTCCTCTTTTGCCTGCAACATCCCCTAGTGTTCCTGTCTCTCCAGTGAATTGTGCCTTCTCACTAAGTATACAAATTATGACAGCCTCAGTTCTGTAATTTTTGCTTCCAGGGAACACTCTGACTTGATCTGATATAGGGCCCACTTGTTTGTTTTTCTGTCTTTCCAGGGTATTCTCAAAGCTCTCCTCCAGCACCATGTTTCAAATGCATAATTTTTTCCCTGTCAGCTTTCTTCAGTGTCTATCTTCACACCCATACATAGTGATCAGAAAGACAAAAGTGTGGATGATCTCCAGAGAAACATACTTACACCTGATTATCTTTTCTAGTTCCTTCATTGCTGCCTGTGAAGGGCCGGTCACCTCTCACCAGACACCCAAAGAGTTGCACAGAGCCCCACTCAACAGGTTCCATATTCTGTCCTAACAGAAGCTTCTTGTCTGTGATGCATTTGAAAAATCAAGTGCTGAGGCATATCCACTTCTTTCAGAACCCTCCATAGTTTCTTGTGATCCACACAGTCAAAAGCTTTGCTGCAGTCTATGAAAGCACAGGCTGATCTTCTGAAATTTTCTGGTGTGCTCCAGCAGTCAATGAATATTTGCGATATGATCTTGAGTACCTCTTCTTTTTCAGAATCCAGCCTGAATAGCAGTCATTTCCCAGTTCACACAGGGTAACATTATTGGTTGTAACATCTTGAGCATCACTTTGCTTGCATGGGAAATAAGGGCAGTGGTCCTATAGTTGCTGCACTCCTTAGCATCTCTTTTCTTTGGGGCTGGAATGTTTATTGGACATTTGTAATCTGTGGGTCATTGTTTTGTTTTCCATAGTTGTTGGCATATTTTTGCTCGGCTTTGAACCAATTCAGCCTCTGCAGCTTGGAATAGTTCTACTGGTATCTTCTTTCCAAGTACGATTAGAGCAGTTTTCAGTTCACTTTCTAAAATTGCAGGTTTGTCTTAAAGGATTCCTCTTTGAAGAAGTTCATCATTCTTTCATTTCTTTTATATAGTTCTGGTCAGATAGTATGTTCTCCTGTTGGTCAGACAACATTCGTAACCTAGGTTGGAATTTCGTGTTGATTTCTTGGATCTTCTGGAATAGATCTCTTGTGTACCCCCCCCCCCCCGCATGGATCATTGTATTAGTTCATTTGTCTCCAGTCAATAGTCACTGAAACATTCCATTCAGGATTCTGGTTCTATTTCTGGCATCTTTTGTTTTTGATTCTTGCCTGTCCTTAGCAATTGTGCGAATTTCTTCTGTTACTCATCTAGGCTTTTTCTCTCTTTTTGCTACAGTCATAAGTCTTGGGGAATTCTTTCCTAACAATGTCTTTAGTCCGTAGTTCTTTTAGCTCATGGTCAATTGAGTCTAGAAATGCAAATATGTTTTTTGTGTTCTTTAAATTCCTCAGGAATGTTATTTAAGCTGTATTTTAGCAAGGTGTTTTTGTAGTGACCATTTTATCTTTACTCTGTTTTTTGATATTAAGAATTTATGATCTTTACTGCAATCTGCTCCTGGTGTTGTCTTGACAGCAAGAAAACTGCTTCTCCATCTCTTAATTCCAATTCTTAGTCTATTTGATTTCTATATTAGTCTATTTGATTTCTATGTTGGACATCTCATGATGTCCAGGCCTACGGTCATCTGATTGGTTGCCTGGTGTAAGCATTTGCAATACCATTCCATTGGAAGAAGTGGCAAGTATACAGGTATGAAGAAATTTCTGGGCAGCCTACGCATGACTACCTCAAGAAGATGCAGACTTACAACAAAACTGAAAGGCAAGGCTTACCAAGGGTAGTCTTATCAAGTCTTGGAGCAAGGGAAATCTATGGAGAAGAGCAGAAGCAGGTCAGTTGTTAAGGCCAAGGTGGAAATTGAATCCTATCTCCTGGGGTTCTCCAGAAGCAATGTCCCTGATGCTACCTCCTTTCTTCAATTACCAGTTTGGTGGTTTTCCGTCTTCTGTACATTTTCACTCATTCCAGACTGTTGAACTATCTCCATTAAATAATAATTACAGTTACTAGGAGCTTTTTTTTTTTTTTTAAGTTTTGTGTCCTACTCCCTTTGCCTCTGGCCCATCCATCACTGGAATGTAGCCCCCAGCACTTCTTTGAAATGGAATTCAGCCATCTGAAAGAGTTATATATATGCCTCTAAGACTTCAGACAAATAAAATGAAATAAAATAGTAGAAACGAACATGAGCTAAATAGATCCAAAAACAAAATCAAGACTGTACAGTACCTCCTGGTAGAATCAAAACTTCATATATGCACTAATCTACACCTCTCTTCCTCTCTCTCTCAGCAGCTTTCACATCTTCATAGTGGGGTTTGGTAACTTTCTCGACGGGGCAGGAAGAGGGTGATTTCAGGGTGAAGAATTTGCGTCTGACTCCCTTGTCATGGTCAGATCACTTCCTCATGAGGGTTGAGCTTGGAGCTGGCCTTTTCCTCTGTAAGGGTGCGGACCCTATTGTGATGGTCTGCCCTCAGAGCCAGATGGATCTGGTTGGATTCCTGAGGGATTTTCTCTGGGGGATTTTCTGGTTGATAA